GAAATCACTACCTTTTAATTTTCAGTGCTAAAATAACAATTTTGTTAACTTGCTCAGAGAGACCATGATCAGACCCAGATTGTGGAAATATGAGAATGTGTGTACAGTGTCACTGTTCATTGAAATCTCTCATATTTAAAGGATAAATGTACCCTGTAAAATGCACTTTGTTTGCTCATTACCAATTAAAAAAAACACCCACCCAAAACCAAAGCAACATCAAACAAAGACTCGATCCTCTTTATACAGACTAGTCTAACACATCAGTACATAAGTTCATTACTTCATGAATTCTGTACCTAAAAAGTTGTCTAATTTTCAGTGGGTGCACCTATGAGCAAAATACTTTCTAAGACGATGGTGTCAGGGCTCACTCTTCCGCTGTTGCTACAGTTTGTTGCAAGAAGCTCAAAATCCTCAACCATACAGTTGTGATTACAGAGCTTTTTGAGTATATTGACCTATTTGTACTATTCAGGTTGGAATTTAAACTATACCATATCAGTAAGTTCGGGGACAGTGCCTTTACAAAGATACAAGAGAGAGTAGCTAAAGGCCATGCTGGCTGCAGGAAAAGAGTGGCCCTTACCCTCTTGTCTGCTGTGCCATCTGTATGTGTTATGCTTGCTCAGATGGCTCTGGTCCCAGGTGCTAGTATGAGGTGTATGCTCAGCAGGATCTCAGGTGTGAAGTTACATACATCCAGATATTTAGGGCCAATTTTGAGGTGGGGATGAACTTTGACAGGTGTGGCAATTTGGAAGTTGTGAATAGAATTGTCTGTTTTAAATAGAATCTGTTTTGTCAGAGGATACCACTGTACATCTCTTTGCATCCTGTTGAAACAAATCAGCTGTTCCATTGTGCCCTAGCCATTCCTGTAACAAATTACCTGTTCTGTTTTAGGATTTTGTGCAGAATGACCAGCTTCTCTTTGCCTCAGGTTTTGTGGGCTTTTTGTAAGTACACATTGTTAGATTAAATTACATCATCAATAAATTTTTGGTCTGTATTGTTTCCCAGACATCTCTGCTGTTTATTTTTTAATTTTTTTCACCCCATTCTCTAGTCACAGGATCCCACACAGAGTATAAGTCTGCATAGGCATTTATAGCTCGGTGCTTCAAAGCCATTTCCATACCTCTAAGCTCTGCTTTGCCAGCTGGGCCGAGCCACCAGCTCCTGCTCTGTAGGCTTCCCTATGGTCTGTACAAGTATGGCTGCAGCTTTACCTCTCGCTAACTTCCCACTCACTGTGCACTCCCATCTGTGACCCATGCTTCTGCCAGAGAAGAACAGATGAGATGATTCAACTGATACTCTAACCTGTGCCACGTTCTCATTATTTATCCCTCTATTTGTTACCTGTTGATGTGCATGCAAAGCCCACAGCTGTACAGGGGTTTTCTGTCTTATGGTAGCAGTTTTCCAGTTAGAATCATTTTTAAAATAAACTAGCTCAAACCATCCAAAAGTCAAGGGAAACAAACAAAAAGCAATGTACTTCCAGCTATGACAGATTTTTACAAAACTTACTTTTTTCCCCATGGAACTGATATGTATATTTTGTATAAGTTCAAACAGTTTTGCATCTCCTGGATTTAGTGAAATTTATTTTCATTTTGTTTTTCTTGTTTTAGAAACAGCTGCAGCAACATCATGTAAAGTTTTGACATTCCTGTATCACTTACAAAAGATGATGAGCAATTTGGACTTTTTTTCTATTGCATTTACAGCTTATACAAAAGAAAATTAACTGGTTCCTTCTGAAGCAGATATTTTCTGTAAAGATATAGAGTCCCTTTTAAGAAATGTTTGGCTGAGGCTCTCATAACTAGGAGATGTGTAACTAAAGATTAAGTCATGCAATTAGAAAAAGGGTGCTAATACAGTATCAAGTTGATGGTCTAGCAGCTGAACTCATGGAAAACTTCATTTCAGTGACCAGGTATTAACACAAGTGTAATAATTCTTTTCAGTTCCAGTGATTTTTGTCCTGTGTATCGCGAAGAGCTAAAACATTTCCCTTTGCCCATAATAATATCTTGTAACAATAAATCAAGAGCTATTCTTTTTTATTGCTATTGTTTATGAACATTAATTAAATAAGCAAAGTTGCAGTACAGTGATATAGATATATGTGATGTATGGTTTAGAGCATATTCCTTGTTTTGTTTGCTAAATGTAACTTTTTCCTTCTTATATCAATCAGATCTCTTTTATGCTACCTTCACCCCTTTCAAACAGTACTATGAATGTTGCTTCCTATTCTTTGGGCATACTTTAGATTACTCAGTTAAGGAACATTACTTTAAGAAGGATTCTGTGTTACTTCTTGTCCCTGAATTATTAAACAGGTGGAACTGCCAGAAGGTTTCTGGAAAGAAAACCCCCACTTTCATTTACTTTTCTAACTTTGTTTTATCTTTACATCTATTTATCTTCTGTTGAGTAAATTATGCCCATTGAGTTCCACATGCTGAGCTAGCTAGTCTGCTGCTGCAAACTCAAGCTGGTAACTTTCAAACTTGCTCTGGAGAGCTGCTTTTTTTTCCCCCTCAGTTTCCAGTGTTGACTTATTTCTTATGTTAAGAGGTCTCTGTAACAATAATAACATGAATCTTCTTTGTCTATGTTCTACTTAAGAAATATTCTCTTTTCACCCAAGACAAGTTTAAGTTAGAAGTTTTTGGAGCAGTCAGAACCCTGGGAAAATATAATGTGTGTTAAGTGACATCAGTAGTAGTTTGATGAAGCAAGTGTCTATCTGTAATACATCAGCGACATCAACCCTACTATCACTAAGAAATGATGAACAAAGAAGTTTTCTGTGTGTAAGCTGTATTCTGAAAATTTAGATATCAACTAATAAAGAGTTAATAAATGCTGTCAAGTTTTCTAGGTTTCTCCCTGTTTTATTTATTTAGGTGGATCTTTTTGGCTTCATAAATGAATTCAAAAATTGGTCTTAGGTATATGCTAAGAATCTTTTATTTGGAGAAGTATTTCATATGTTCCTTATCTTTATATAGCTAAGACACTGTCCTACGTCCTACAGTGTTAAAGTTCCGTGTAAGTTGATTACATTAACTGAAAAGCACATAGAGAAGTTAAGACACGTGTGAACATCTTCTATTCCTCACCACCTCAGACAAAGTCAGCCCTAATATTTTCTGGAGAGAGAATCATTACTTTTAATTTTAATTAATTACATTACATTTAATTTTTTGGAAGCTTAGGTGCAGAGTCAGAATCCAGGATGAAAAATGCAGGTATAGTTCAGTATTTCACAAAACTGCTGAAGACCAGGAGCCTACTAGGCTATTGCAGTTAAACTGCAAGTTTACTTTTAAAATTACCAGGTTTAAGTTGGACTGGCAAGATTGATTTTACTGGCAGTGTCCCTGCCAATGCTGTGGAGAATGGACAAGAATTCATAGGTAGTGGATAAGACCTCTTGTTTGATCATCAATTTGTGGTTTAAATTGCTTTAAAACCAGTGATGGAACCACAGCAACAGGCTGCTCTGATTCATGAAGATTTTGTCTCAGGACTTCTAAATCTTCAACCAAATATAAGTATTTCCATCCATATTTCTCCAACTTCCAAGATTTGTAAACTATATACAGTATGTTTCATCTTCCAGTGAATATGCGAAGACATCAGCAAAATCCACTAAAAAACCCTGCTGGTTATGAGCACTGTAATAAGTGTCTGCAGATATTTACTGCTTTGAGGCAGAAACAAAGGCATTATGACAAACGAAAAGTTAAAGTAGCAAACTACAGCAAGATTTTAATATTTAATTACATTGGCTCTAACAGGCCTTATTCAAATTCATATGTTGGGGCCTCTATGTAAAGTTTATTCAAATACAATTTCTGGATGCACTGATGGAGGGAGCTTTGGCAATGTATGTGATGCAGCTGTGTAGTGCTGTGTGGGGTGGTGATGCTACACCAGGCAGTGATAATGTAGGGAGCTGAATTATATTTCCATCATTTCCCTTCTCTCGTACCCCTACTTACCTACCACTCTTTTTCAGAAACATCTAAATAATGGCGAATAAATGTCCTAGAAAGCACTGAAAAGTTGAAAGCAGCTGAAAAGCAGCAGTTTAAAATTGAGAAACTGGAAGCAGAAAGTGTGAAAACTTCTATTCAGTTGAAATGAAGCATAAATAATGCCACAGCTATCTACTCTTCATTATTTTGTTTACTACATTGGCTTTCTACATTTCAAATACAGGTGATAACTATAATCATTCTGATGTATAAACATGCTTTTTTAAAGAGAGATATTGGAACATTTGGAAAAAAATAATAATTTTATCAACTTAGTCTTCTGTTGGAATAGCAAGATTTTGTTTTGTTAGGTTATGTTTTGATAGCCAATGGAAAAATGAAGCAAATATAAGTGATGACAGATTCTCCACATTGCAGTTTTCTTAATATTGGAGTGAGAAAGCAATTTTTGAGGTGCTGATTTTTGTCTAAGCGAATGAATAATAGTGGATAAATAATGAAAAAGGTTGCGGCAACATTTAGTAGCGGTCATATCATCAATATGCTATATAGTTGGATAGTGTTATCTTTTCAAGAATAATATGAATATATACTTTCTTGGTATTTTGTGGATTGTAGACAATGAAATCCACTGTGGAGGTGCTTGACTTCTCTTGTGAAAAGAAAAAAATCAAAGGTGAATTTGTATTTTGTTCATTTATATAGGTAAATTTAACTTACCATTTTGCCTAGCATGAGGTTCCATTGTTTGAGAAAGAAGGTAAATGAATGATATTTCCTTTGATATCAAGACCAAGTCAAGTAACAAATATACCTATGCTGTACTCACTTCTAAAATGTCAAACAGTATTATTAATAAAATAAATATATCATTATTTTAAGAGTAATATAAACTGTTGCTTGAGATTATTTAATTGAATATCAATTAATTCATGATTTTATTGAAAGAAGCTAAATTATTCTTTGTCTTTTTTAGGGGTGATAGCAGATTATGAATCAAAACATGGACATAGAATCTGCCCAGCATTCAATGGAAGATACACAGATTTTTAGGACCCAACCAAGACAGCCTAATAAGTTAGATGGAATTTGCCAAACAGATGGCAATCTGTGCAATTCAAATCTTCCATCTCAAAATTTCTATCCATATTCACCTTATTATACACACATGCATATGAATTACAGCAGCGACTTGGAAATTTTTGAAGCAGTAAGAATTCGAGAACTAGAAGAAGTCAAAGCCAGAGCTGCCCAAATGGAGAAAACCATGCGCTGGTGGTCAGACTGTACTGCTAATTGGAGGGAGAAATGGAGCAAGGTTAGAGCAGAAAGAAATAAAGCCCGAGAAGAAGTCAGACAATTGAGAATAAAATTGGACAGTGTTGTAAAAGAACTGAGTATGCTTAAAAAGATAAACCAGGATTTAGTAAGTGAGAAAGAAAGTTTAGAAAATGTAACTGCTTGGAAAACAGAATATTTCAGTTCCTCAGAAATATCTCATATAGAAAAAGACCTAAACCAGTTAACATTTTTGGAACATGAACCTGTGAAAGAACTGAATAAAACCAATGGAATTCCTTGGGCAGAAGACTCAAACAAGGTAAAGAATGGGGATTTCTTTTAGTTCGTGAAAAAGAAGGAGTTATGTATTTAGAAATGAGATTTTTCAAGGATTTTCACTAAAATATAACATGATCTGATACATAAAAAAAACACTTATTTTGATTTTCACCCATGTTATAATCCTAATATAGAGAAATACAGAAAAAAATTCAGATCCCTTAGCTATAGCTAAACCTATAAGCAAAAGGCTGTTATCTGCAATAACTGAATGCTCTGACTATCTTTCACATTCAAAGTTATTAGGTTGTCTCTGAAATCTCCATGTTATGCATACTACTATCTCAAAAAAGCAGTGTAGGGTCCTGATATCTAAAATAAAATTTAGTTCTCACTACTTGCAATTTCTGAAATGAAGAAAGAAGTGAGGTGAATTATTCTGCAGTGTGGCAAGTTTTTCATTTGGCAAACAGAGCAATTAAAATCTCAAAAGAATTCCTAATACAGATGTATTTTCAAATAATTTTTTTTCTAAATATTTTTAGTTTTGCTTATGTATATTTTGCATACAAAATCTGTTTCAATATGACTTACATTAGAATTCTAAGAGTTCTTATGTGGAATTTCTCAATATTTTATCTGTACATATAAGTTGCTTTCCTGGTTTTAATAATTCCAGGATTCTGTCTTGACCATAGTTATAGCCAACTAGTGACAACTGGAACCTATTTGTTTAGTAGAGAAACCTTAAAAATACTATAGTTATGAAAACTCTCACATGTCACAGTGTGAGATACCACAAAGCAGTGATCACTCCATCAGAATGACATTTTTTGCATTAGAGAACATTCTAACTGTAACTCATTGCAATTATAGAAGCTATTATTTATTCCTTTCTTCCCCCTGCAGGGTTTAAATGTTTAGAAGAGCCTTGGTAGCAGGCAGAAGTCATATTTAGACATTTCTTTATTTATGTTTTTCTAAAATACCGTGTTTATCTCTTTTCTCAGGATGTGGAGTTAATCAAACAGCCCTTAAGAAGCAGTCAGAATAAAAAAATGACTCCAAAGCATCTTGATTCCTTTCCCAGTGGATTTACCAGTATTTATTTTGAGGAACCTAAAAAAGGTCTGCACAATGCAGCTCAGACGTCAGAGAATGATTTAATGCATGCTTCTGTTCTGCATTTGCATTTGGCTGAGTTACAGAAAATCTTAACCAAAGAAAGAGAGTAAGTAAAAAATATATTCTCCATCGAGAAATCTTCATTAGAAATAAGTTTTTAAAGAAACTTTCTAATGTAAATATAGTGAAGTTTTGCATTTATAGCTCATATGTTCTCCTAGGTATTTCTAAGCTCTAATTCAGAGAATATGTATTTTTTTTAATGGTTTTAGAAATTGGTAATTACATATATTTAGTAGTAGTGTGTATGTCTCGTTTCCTTTGACTTGCTTATCATTAGCATGAAAAAGTACACTGCAATAAAACTGTTAAGAATATACAGTTAACTAAAAAATTCGTACTTACCAGAGATTTGATACCAATTAAGTAACATCTAAGCTATGTTATACTCAATTATTGGAGCACTATAGCATTATAAGAAATTTTCATAGGCTCTTTAAAATTTTTGCTAGTAAATGGTGACTGCAGAATAATGAAGGCCATTTTTGAATTACATCAAAATTGCTTTGCAAGGGAGCATGTAGTATGTAATATATGTGCAGTGTGTGAGGCAGTAGACTTCAGTTTAATGTGATTGTAGCTTCAAAACTGGTTAAAGTTGCTCAGGAGTAGAGAATACCTCTTATCTTGCAAATACTGTCTAGTTTCAATTCAAAGAGTATGTAATAGATTGTGGCAAATCTTTCCTGTCAATTTCTTTCTTTTTACAATTTTCCTGTAGATAATTCAAGTCTGAAGTATATTAAAATTTTAAAAAAGCATTTATTTTAAATTCTTAGAACATATTTACTATGTTGTTACCTGGAGTAGGAAGCTGTAGAAAACATCCATTCTTTCTTTTGAATCATACAGCAGCAGATTACCAAAACTATGTTCTATCTTACTAAAAAAGATTCCATTTTTTGTTGAAACCAAAATCCAAAAATGTTTAAATTTTTATGATATTTCATGAGGGTTAAGAGGCTGATACCTCATATATCTACTCTACTCTGGTTGAAATCTTTAGGGTTCTATGTATTTTACTTGTTCAACAGAGATCATAGTATGCAGAAATTTCCTTTTAAAAAAGGAGATAATCATTCGACATTTTTAAAACAAATTTCTTATTTTATGAAAATTTAATAAATCCCTGTTTTACTTTCTGTTTTGTGTTTGTGCATGTGCCTTTTCAGACAGTTTGTAATTGTATTTCAGGATGCCAGATTGTGATGCTTATCCCTAGGTATATACTGACTGTTCATTATGGTGTATATTAATAAATTTACTGGGTATGATAAAAACTGGTGTGTGTTTGTATCATGCAACATACAGCAGTTCCAACTTCAGGCAGTAACTCTCATGGAACAGCGATTTTCAGATAATGGTAGGCATTTGTGTACAACTTCTTTAGGGCTCTTTGTGCAACATTTCCTGTATAAAAGAGCTCCTGTAAGCAAAATATGTTCAGCTGAGACATATGAAGCAATTATGTTTGGCTATGCACACAATAGATACCTATGAACAGTATTACCAGACAAGAGCTAACATAATCACTGGTCTCTTGAGTCACCCTGTGAGTCTTTGTTTGGCGGACTATCATCCACCAGTTCAGGCAGGCTTAGTCTGTGCTTCTCGTGGGAATAGGCTTATTTTGATGACTTGACATCTTCAGATTCCCATTTTTTCTCTTTGAGTTTTATACTTGATCACGTCAGTATTTTTGCTCCTGGGTTCTGGATCTGCTAATAATCACTATCTCAACAATCTCATCTGTTTGCATAGCTCTAGCTTAAGTACTTTCTCACAGCTTCTTCCTGACAATTTAGAAATTTTCTCAGTAAACTTCAGCCAAGGACACAGCTGTGCTATATCAAAAGCAAACTTGGGTTACAGACAACTTGAACCCCTAGGCCAAAGGTTACTTTGGCAGCCAGTATGATCTTGCTCATTCTGTGCAGGACCTCTCAGCAGATCTTTTTGGCTTACTTTCAGTACTTGAGAGTTGTAGCTAGATTTTTTCCAAACTGAAACCCGCACGTGTAGAGCTAGCGTTTGGACATGCCCCTACTTAAATGGCTAACCTCTCCATAAGTGATGTAGGTGGTTCTGGATCAAGAGTATTCAGTTTAGATGTAAAGAAAGAGGCAACAAGAAGGCACTTTTCACGCAAGTAAATTGCTTCAATGATGCAGCTAACATTGCTTCCAGGCCTTGAGCCAGACCACTCAGTGATAACTCTGGTGTCTGCACAAGTCCACCAAGTACTGTGTGAACGTGCCCCAGAGGCAAGCCTTGTCACATATCCTTTTGCTGATTTCCTTATGCTGTGGAAGAAAGATTTTAAATCAAATATTCTCAGAATGTAGCTAAAGTCACTGTGGAAATAATACCTTTTGTTAAAAGGTTAAGAAATTCTTTCTGTCCCAGAAGAGAAAATAACTACTTTGACATCCAACAGTATCTTATGTTGCTACTCGAATTTTCAATTTTACATTTTCAATATTTTTATATTTTCTGATATATTCATGTTTCATCCCTGTGGTATCATAAAACTTATGTAAAATTGTCATCTCCCAACATAATGATGTTTACTGCTTTTCAGATTTCAGATTTATTCAGAGTCCTGACTTTATATGCTTTATTCCTATACTGATGTTTATAGCCAGTTGAATAATCAGGGATTATAAACTATGACCTGTTTTTATTAAAAAATGGTACCAATATAAATTGAAAGTTTTACTTGTAATTAAGAGTAATTTTTTTCTTTCATTTTTCTTGTGGGCCAAATTCTATTTTGTTAGACTATTGCAAAATTATATACACATTACACAAATATGAAATTAAATTATGAAGGCAAGGATATAAATTATGAAAAATTCAATGTTATCTTTGGACTTTGGCTGACAGTCTTTGCTGTGGACACAAAAATGAAACTTTTAATGGGTCTCAAAGACAGGAACATCTGTAGAGCTTCATAATTCTTTCATTATATCCTGAATTGCTGATAATACTGTGTTTTGAAAAGAGGTAAAAGCTAAAACCAAACTTCAGTATTTCAGTAGGAACCATCATTCCTTCTTTGTGAACTATTTTTTCTGACCATTTTCCAGAATATAGTAATGAACATTTTACTCGAACATTTTACTCAAACATTTTACTTCCAGAGCAGAATCCTTAGAGTTGTCATTCTAGTGAGGATGTAGTATCTCTGAGATAAATAATCCACATTTCCAAAATGTTTTTATCGCATTCGTTCAAGAATCCTTTTTTTTCATTGCTCTGCACATAATGTATGTATATATTCCTATATGCGTGTGTACTTAAAATAATATTTTCCCTGTACTCGAATGAAGTGAACCAATATCTATCCTCTGAGGATCTTTGCTATCTTACCATATATTACATGACCAAAATCACTAATTGATGTTCATTTCCAAATTTTATTAAGTTTAGAACAAGAATTTGAATTCTGTACTGGAGTTGTCTGTTCTCTTTAGCCATTATTTTTTATGAATCTCTTCAAATAATTATGTGGTTATAGTATATGTTTAAAATAATTTAAAAATATGTAGTTGAAAAAGGCAGTAAAATATAACTGAAGTTTTGGACAGAAGTTAAATGTCTTTTTTTTTTTTCATCCTCAAAAGAAAAAGTAATGCTGATTTTTAAAACTCTTTCAGAATGAATGTATTTCTGGAAAAAGAAGTGGAAAAGACAGAAAATGAACTAGCTCTTTGGAAGTGGAAATATGAAGAACTAAAACAATCTAAACTGGAAAGTCTGAACCAGGTATGTTAGCAATACATATTTATCATGTGAAATAAGAAACAAAGCTGAGGCTTCTGCTTTCCTCTTTTAACTAAGAATAAAATTATACTTAGGCTTTACGAAAATAATAAGTAAATATCCATGTTTGTTTGAAAATTGCTTTCACAACAGAACTGAAGGATAATTCAAGTTAGAAGATACCTCGGGTCCAATTGCTGTTCAAAATGGCAGTCTGCCCACTAGTAGACTCTACTCGTGGTGAAAGAGGTGCTGGGTTCTGACAATGACCAGTCAGAACATCTCTTGCTCCAGTATATGAGCATTTTCTATTGTTCTCCCAGTTTGCACCATTGTGAAGAATCTGGTTTTGTCTTTTTGATAATCCCCTCATAAGTACTGGGGCACCACTATTAAATCCCACTGAAGCCATCTCTTCACCAGAATGAGCAAATCCTGTTCCTTCAGCCTCTCTTCACAGATTGAGTGCTCGTTTTTGACATTATCTGCAGCTATTTGTCATAGTTGCTTTTATGCAATTTTCAAGGACCTCTCTGTTCTCTATCATCTTTCAAAGTTGACAGAGGGTGGCTTTGGAGGATACCACCCAGCTTTCTCAGTACACTTTGGTGAACCCATTTTGTCCCACTCTCCAGTAATCCCTGACACATCCTCATCCACTGTTGTTCATTCTTCCCCCAGATAACATTTCAATAGCTCAAGCACATCAGTCCAACAGAGACAGAGTCTGGGGAAGCAGGCCTGAGGGCAGAGGGGGGCTTGTGAGATCATAGAAGATCGTAGAATCCTTATAGTTGGAAGGAACCTCTGAGGGCCATCTAGTCCAACTCCCCTGCAATGAACGGGGACACCACAGCTAGATCAGGTTGCCCAGGGCCTGATCCAGCCTCGCCTTGAAAGTCTCCAGGAATGGGGCATCCACCTCAACACTAGGTCACCTGTTGCAGTGCCTCACCACCTTCACAGTAAAAGATTCTTTCCTTATATCTAACCTAAATCTAACCTCCCTGAGCTTGAAGCCATTTCCCCTTGTTCTATCACCGAAGACCCTGCTAAAGAATCTGTCCCCTTCTTTCCTGTAGCTCCCCTTTAGATACTGAAAGGCTGCTATCAGGTCACCTCGCAGCCTTCTCTTCTCTGTGCTGAACAGCCACAGCTCTCTCAGTCTGTCCTCATAGGAGAGGTATTCAGTTCTGTGGTTTGTCTCTGGACGTGTTCCAACAGATTTGTGTCTCTCCTGTACTGAGGACTCATCAGGACACAGTACACCAAATGAGACCTCACCGGTGCAGAGCAGAGGGGCATGACAACCTCCCTCAACCTTCTGGCCACTCTTCTTTTGATGCAGCCCAGGATACACTTGGCTTTCTGTGCTGCAAGGGCACACTGCTGGTTCACATCCAGTTTACCATCCACCATTACCCTCAGGTCCTTTTTGGTAGAGCTGATCTCAATCCTTTCATCCCCCAGTTTATATTGGTAAGATGGGGTAGCCTCAACCCAACTGCAAGACCTTGCACTTGCATTTGTCGAACCTCATGAGGTTTACCTGGGCCCACTGCTCAAGTCTATGTCCCTCTGAATAGCATCCTGTCCTTCTGGTGTTTCAACTGCACCCCGCAGCTTGGTGTCATCAACAAGCTTACTGAGGGTGCACTCAACCCCACTGTCAATGTCATTGATGAAGATATTAAAGAGTATCAGCCCCAGCACCGACCCCCTGGGGGACACCACTTCTCAATAGTCTATGTCCAGACATGGAGCCATTGACCACCACTCTCTGGACTCGATCCTGCACCTGCAGCCTTCGGTTGTTGAACAGTCCACCCATCAAATCCATATCTTTCCAATTTGGAGATAAAGATGTGAGGTACTGTGTCAAAGGCCTTACTGAAGTCCAGATAGATGACATCAGTGGCTCTTCTCTTGTCCATTGATGCAGTGACACTACCATTAATGGCCACTAGGTTGGTCAAACAGGATTTGACCTTGGTGAAGCCATGCTGTTTTTTCTTTATCACCTCCCTGGCTTCCATGCACTTTAGCATAGCTTCCAGGAGGATCTGCTCCATGATCTTCCCCAACACAGAGGGGAGACTGACAGGTCGGTGGTTCAGGATCATCTTTTTTACCCTTTTTAAAAATGGGTATGATGTTTCCTTTTTTTCCAATCACCAGGGGTTTCACCTGAATACCATGACTGTTCAAATATAGGGAGTGGCTTGGCAACCACATAAGCCAATTCCCATAGGACTCTGAGATGCATCTCAGCAGGATCCATAGACTTGTACACATACAGGTTCCTCAGGTAGTCACAAATCTGATCTTTGCTTACAGTGGGAGGGGCATTGCTTTCACAAACCAAACATTTGAGGGCTGTGTGGTGAACAGTTAGGAAAAACAGAGGCAAAAATTTTAAGTACTTCACCCTTCTCCTGGATTTTTTTTTTTTTTTTTTTTTTAATTGAGGTACCTGTAGAAGCCTTTCTTGTTCTTTTTGGAATCCATATCCAAATTCAATTCAAGCTGGGCCTTGGCTGTCCAAGATGTAGTAGTCTACATGTTAGTAAAGCAGTGCTGACATTCTGTGCAGCACTATTTGAGTGCCGCTTCTGGTTTAACATCAAGCACTTTGTGTTACTCCAGGATCAGGGCTACTGCTGGGACGGGTGGCTCCAGTGCTGGAGAATCAGATGCCTGTTCCAATAATGCAGGCCAAGCCCAGAATGTAGGTCCTAAAGGGTGATGGCCATCAGCAGCGTTTCATTCAGCAGTTTGCACAAGAATACGTGAAGGAACTGGAAACATGCTGCAGGAACATCCTTAGAGACAGAAAAGTCTCAACAACATAGTGGAGGAGCAGCCAGAGGCTGCAATCTTTTGTAGGGTAAATGGAGAGATCCATGCTGCTGAAGGTGGGAAACTGTCACCTCCTGAAAGTGGAGGATGGCTCTTTTTCCACCTCCACATCTGCTATTGTAGAATAGGTTCAAAAGTCTGGTAGCAAAAAAGAAGAAAGCCATAACTGAGGAGAAATCAGAGCCAGCTTTATCCTGAACAATGCATTAACACTAGGAGAATCTATCCTGTGGGGACAGAAGCCCCTATGTATCTCAATTTTCATTTTGAGGGATATGTTGCTTGCTGTGGACTTTGACCTAGAACATCGCAGAGAGATTGCCAAGGCCTGTGCAGACCTTAGACCAGTGTTCCCAGCTGCTCATCTGCATGAATGGTAGAATTGGTACAGAAGTGCACGCGTCCTGGGAATCAATGAGAAAAAGCTGTATTTAGTTACAGAACTCAAATATTGTTAGAGCAATTAAAATACTGGGCCAAGTTTGTAAAACTGAAGTACTATGAAGGACAGATGATTCTTCAGGAAAAAGAGGGAAGAGGAGACCTGAGGGGATGGAAGTTGTCCACAGATCTAAAAGCAACCCAAATCTTTTGAGCTCTTCTGTGTGATGGGTGATAACTGGACTAATAGCTTGTGACTCAGTATTGGAGGAGAGTTCAGTAAGGACGAGGTTTTGATGGGAGGTTGCCTGATGAGGTAATTTTAGTCTTTAAAGAACTCATGTCTCTGACTTTCAGAATCTGGTTCTCACAGGGGACTGACTGCTTAGCTGCTGGAAGGGTTGGATGCAAAGCAATCTAATTCTGGAGGATTTCAGAATTACTGCTCTGTGTAGGCATTAAATGGACCAACTAGTGGTGATGCATAGCTAAGTATGCTGCTAAGTGTTATGAAGGAAACTATTTGAATATGTGTTTGTGAATAATATCCTTGTCTATATTGACTGAAATTTGGGAGTTTGTGGTCCTGAAGGAAGTGAGAAAGGCAAGTAGTAAGAAAATACCCTGAACTTAAGGCAAACAGAAAGTTTGCTTAATCAGGGAACTGGTGCATGGAATCCCATGGGAGGGAGCTCTGATTAGTGAAGGAGTTCATCAAAGCTGGCAGGTCTCAAAGGACAGCATCTTCAAAGTGCAAAAGAGATCTGTTGTATATACAGGTAGATTGGTCAGCATAGCAGAGAACTCAAAGTGTAATTTTGATGCCAGAAAACTATACCTTTATATAGGAGATCAGACTACAATTGAGAAATATAGGAACATTCATTGGACCTACTTGGAGGTGTTTCTTGAAATCACGGGACAGTTCCGCCTGAGCATGAGAAAAAACTTTACTGCAAGGGTCACAAAGCACTGGAATTGACTGCCCAGAGAACTTGTGGAATCTCCTTCTATGAGATATTCAAAACGTACCTGAGTGCTTTTCTTTGTAGTCTACTGACAATCTCCAGAAGTCCCTTCCAAGTTTAATGGGTAGAAGGCTAATAAATATTGTTGTTGCATCTTTCAGGATTTAGTTTTCATAAAAATTAGTTAAGGAACTCCTACATCCAACAAAACTCAATTTGTATTTGTATATATGCATAGAGAATTATTGATACAAAATTATTTTTGTTACATATAAATTTAACATATCCAATTTGGAAAACTTTTAGAAAATTAAATTTCTTTTCACATTTTAGGAAAAATTCTGATTAGTTTATTGCATTCCAATTAAATTAGTTTAGATCCAATTAGTTTATTAAATTACAATTACAGGATAGCACATATAAAAATGTAGCTTCTCTCACAGATGAGTATCCATAGCAACAAAAGAACACCTTTGTGTCATATTTGAGTTCCTTCAGATTTTAGTTCTTTATTTTGTTTGCTCATGAAGTAGAATTTTAGCTTATTATACTTATATAACAAAGGAATTTCGTATTTAATTAATAGTTTTGTTTAAGAAATGCAATCTTCATGTTTTATGGCACTGTCAGCAGGAATGGAACAATAAGGATTAGAAAATTCCTGAGAGGAGGCTGGAAATCAATAGCTTCCAATTTTATTTATGTGCATGCATACACATATGTGTGTGTTGCTGCTTTCTAAATGAAAGACATGCTGAATTGCTTTAATTGTTAACAGAAGGTGATATTTTGAGC